ATTTTGGACACTATATGTTAGGTTTTTGTAAAACTCTCTAACAAAAGTTTAAAAAGCATTGAATGTAATTTCTAGACAATAATGCTTGAGCAGGAATTTTGTAAGTTTTTTCCCTTTTTTTTCTCTCCCTTGGAGTAGTTTACCTTCTGGGTAATAATCTTGTTGAACCTGCTTAATAGTAAGAGACTGCGATTGCATGGGAAAAGAAAAAATCATTATATAGTGATGCCAGGGGTTTCCTCCTAATCCTGGGTTAACAATTGCCTTTGTCGATGTGCATGATAACAGTGAGTGTTTACTGGCTCTTTTCTATATGCCAGGCCCTATTCTAAGTGCTTTAAATATGTTATTTCATTAAACCTGTATAGAACCTTACAAAATAAACACTTCTTATCTGTACTTTACGGATAAGAAAATAAACAGAGTTCATAACTTGCTACACATTAGGCATCTAGTGAGACCTGTAGCTTGGCTTGAACCTCAGCAGTCTGACTCCCATATTTACACCCTACTAGCAATGCCTGTGAGCTGGGCCCCAGAGCCAGACAGGTCTGGGCTCACATACTATCACTGTTAGCTGGGAAGTTTGCCTAATTGTTCTGTGCCTCAGTTTTTCAAATGGGGATAATAATAGTACAAACCTGTGAATGAAAAATGTTGCCTGCCATATCAGTAAACAAAGGATGTTACAGCCATAAAGCCATCACATTACAGCCACCCCTTACAGTGAGCCCTGAGGGAACTCAGGATGGAAACAGGCTGCCCACTGCCCAGCCCTCAGCTGCTGTAGCCACCGACGGTGCACCCTGAGAGGACTCAGGATGGGAAAGAACAGCATACTGACCCTGGTTGGTTAGGGCGCATATCAAAGGAATGATTTCAGTGAGCCCAGACTCTTGCATCTTCCCATACATAGAAAAGTGCTAAATTCCTTAACTTGAGATGTCTGGTTTTCTTTAATTAACAGCAATCTTTTGAAGTTCCTACTACCTGGTCTTTGTTGCAAAAACTCCTATATATCCTGGCTCCTCCCTTACCCCTTTGGAGCAGTCTCTCAGAGCTATCTGAGAGGCTGTGTCCTGGCTTAAGTCCTCAGCTTTGTCTGCCAAATAAAACATAATTCTCAACTTTTAGGTTTTGTGTTTTGTTTTTTTCAGTCGACAACCTCATGGAAGCTCACGAGGATTACTGATGTGTGTGCACAGGGTGCTGAAGAGTTTGACAAAGAGAAAAAAGTTGAGAGATATTAGCTTTCATTAATAATATATCCTCAGTCATTGAAGTCAAACCCCATGGCTCCAGCCTAATTGAAATAACTCACTGAATTTGGAAAGGTCTCTTTGAGCCTCCAGTCTATTCCTTGGTAGTGACTGTCAATGCTACAAGTTCTCTAAATTATATTTATGGTACTGGCTTTAGAAATGGCAACAGTCTCAGTGCTTACAAATTCATGCAACAAATGTTTCTTGAGGGCTCACTATGTTACCAGTCATTGGCTAGATATGGGAGATAGAAAGATAGTAAATAAAAAAGACACTCACCCCCACACCTCCCCTCTAATACATAAAAGAGAGATACAACTGCAACTGTGATAAGAGCTACAAAAGGGAAATTCAGGGCTCTATGAAAATGTAGAACAAGGTGGATTTACCTGAAGCTGGTAAACTTCAGGTCCCCTCACTTGCACAATCCTTCCAAGGACACAGAGCCATTTATGTTTTAGTAAAAGTTGCAAGATATCTTAACATTTGTGGTTAAAATAACTTTTCATTCCACTTCTGTTTGTCAAAACTCCTCTCCTGTTGGATGATGTTGGGGTGACCACCAGCAGTTGGGGGATTTGCTAAGAGGAAGTTGAATTAGGGATAGCTTAGACTTGGACTAAATGAGAAATATTTTGTGATTAGTTGTCCCTTCTGTATAGGTGTAAGTAAATTTTAGTTGTACTGCTATAGGACTATCTTCCAGAAATATACTTTCTCTGTACCTTGTGACATCCATGTCTAGGCCAGAGGTGGTACTGAGATATAGATGTGTCCCATGGTGTCCAGTCCTGGAAGAATATGAGGATTGAAGGAGAAGCAAAGTTTGAAATGTTTGAAGTGTATGGAATAAGAAGTTAGTATCAATTGTGTAAAATTGTAAGCAGAGGATATGGTTTCATGGATGCAGTCATAACAGAAGTTTTCCTTTGTCAGAAATATTCAGCAATACAGTATTTACTATTATGATGCACCATACTTTTTGTGTGTGTATGATGGGAATTGGACACAATAGAATTTATCAGAATCTCTGTCTATGCAGGATACAAATCTGTAGCAGTCCTATAAACAGCAAGTCTGTATATGTGTGCGGTCACATGATTTAGCACCCAAACTTTCTACTCCCTCTATAGAAAATGTGCTTACAAAATCTTTGATATATGAGGAGGCGATCAAAGATAATGCAGCCAAAAAAATGTAGAGGAAAAGTGTAAATAGTGGTATGGTAATTAAGCATTTAAGTAATTAAACATACTACCTTACTTTTCTGGATTGTATGAAATGTGTGATGTTACAGATTTTTTTGACATTTGTAATTTGTTATGATTTCTTCTTACATTCTAAATTAATATTCATTTTTGTACCTAATTTGGTATTCTTTTTTCTTAAAGAAGGCTCCCCAAAGTGTGTAAGTATCAGATATCACCAAACTTGGATGCAGCTCTAGGAGGGAGACCTACACTAGTCCAGGGTCAAGGTAACTTTCTGAGAAAATGACTTTGAAGCTGACTCTTGATGTTGGGGGTCAGAGGCAGCCACACTAAGATGGTAGTGTATTTATGTGTGTGTATGTGGGATGGGGACGGGAGGGAGAAAGTGTGAGGAACCGGGGTGCAGATGCTAAGGCTGAACAATGAGGAAGGATGGCAGAAGTCATGGTGTGTTTTTAGGCCCTGCAATTTCAAGAAAAATTAAAAATTAAAAAAATTTAATATGATCATTTCTTTTGTGTCACATTCAAGACAGGTACAGTGTATATGAATTTTCAACCCCATATTCAGGAGTGAAAGTAATATCATTTTATTTTATTTAAGTCCCATTCTTAGTCCTCATCCATCCGTCCATGATTGTGGGAAATTCAACCTTAGTCATCCTTAGAGTCCTGTTCTTTTCCTTCACTCTCAAGATCATGAGAAGGTGGGCTTTCTCTGAGGTATGTGTGTTAGTCCGTTCATGCTGCTGTAACAAAATACCATTGACTGGGTGGTTTATAAACAACAGAAATGTATTGCCCGCAGCTCTGGAGGCTGGAAGTCCAAGATGAGTGTGCCAACAGAGGGTCCCCTTCTGGTTTGCAACTGCTGACTTCTCATTGTAATACCATCGCTTTGGGGGTCATGATTTCAACATATGAATTTTGGGGGAACACAGATATTCACTTCATAGCAGCATGTGCTCTCCATCTTCTCCCAGAGTTTCCCTGTGGCATTGGTCTAACTGCCCACATTGTTAGTTAACTGGGTAGCTCACCCTGTATTGTCTGCCTCCCTTTCTTACTGGTATTCCAAAGTTCCCCAGTGAGTCACTTGTAGTGGATCCTCTTCTCAGGATCTGCTTTGGAGGAACCCAAACTGAGACAATGAGTTAATACTGTAAGGGCACTGTCAATGCCCTCCAGCCAAAGACCACCAGGGACACATCTACAGTTGAACCAGTTGGGTTTATTTATTTTTTTGCATCAAGGTAGGACACACACCATGGGATATCATGGGGTGTCTCTGAAAAAGTGTGTCAGAACGGACCTATTATAGTATTTGGACTTGGATGGTTTGGGAGATGGTCTAAGGAAGTGGGATTGGATACTGTCAGAAAGCACAGGCCATTCTATGAAGGAGGGTCTCAATAAATCTTACCTATAGTGAGGGGAGACTAAAATGAAGTTAAAGTTGCAACTGGTAAAGAAATAGCCACTCATCTGGGCCAAGAGCTGGGTTGTCAGGTACTTGTGGGTGACAACCGGAAACTTGTTTTTGTCTGTGCTTAGACAAAATTGTGAAGTGGACTTGCTTTGTCTCACCTTCTGATCTCAGAGTAAACTTGTCTGAGGTTGGTATTCTGTGAGATGGTTTATGTCTAACAGATTAGCATGGTCTACCTGTGAATGCCAGGCCAGGTTCCGAAAGTCCAGTCCTGGTCTGCTTTTAAATTTCTCAGCACTTAGAAAATGCAAGGCACTTAGTAAACTCTCAATGTCACATACCAGTCACCAGTCTGAAGTTAGGGCTTCACAAGCATCCTCTTTTAATCTTAACAATAATCTTGAGTTAGGTATGAATTATATTCACATTTTAGAAGTGAGGAAGAAATGTGATCTGTGCTTATGCAGGATGTCAACAGGTACATTACATTAAGATGAAGAATGATAAACCAGAGATCTGCCCTTAATTCTGAAGTGAATATTATTAATCCCTTAGAGAGAAAAAGCAAAAGCTGGAGGGTCAGAGACCCGCTGTCTCTCGGCAATAAGATAAAAGTCGATGTGTCCTTGGAAACATCAAAGCTGCCCGGAATCTGCAACTTTTATTAGATTTCAGCCACTTCCCCTTAGGAATATGGAGGCTGTCTTAAATATATTATTATTCTGATGATGTGTGGTTCAGCTTGGACTTAAACATGCACTTCAGGAATAGACTAAATTACTGAAAAGGCATTAGCACTCCGGCAGTGTATACATGCCTTTTGTTTCTGCAGTCTTCAAACTTTTCTGGCACAGTAATTCGTCCACCAACACAAGGACATATAAACCGCCATTACCAGCCCTATAAAAAACAATCGGGACAACACAGGGAAAGACAGCAAGAAAAAGCGTGAGAGAGGCCAAGTGAGGCAGCGCCCTGGGGTTCAGACCCGGGTGGAAAGGCCCAAGGCGCCTCGGCCTCCAGGGCCCGCCCGCTCCCAGCCCAGCCCCCATAGCTCTAGGATTTCTGGCCCGCCCCCCGCGCCGCCCGCATTTCCGGCCAGATGTTGGGAGGCTCTACATGGCGTTGCTAAGCCGTGTTCTCTTTGCTTGGGGCCGCGGTCCTCGGCGGGTAAGGCGGTGCTGGAAGGGCCGAGGGCCCTGCACTCTCCCCGCAAACGCCCTGTCTGGGGGACTAGCGGAGCGAAGCGCAGAGCGTGGACTCGCGTTACCGGGGCGCTAGGAGCGAGGACAAGGTGTCTCGCGGAGAGAGGACAGAGGACTGGGGTTTCTGGGGAGTCTCGCGAGGAGCGGGAACCCGGGGACTGGGATGAAGTGGGAAGGTCGCCTTGGGTTGCTGTCGGAGGAAGTCCTGGTGTATGTTTGTGTTTGGGGTGGGGTGGGGATGGGGATGGGGGTGGGGAGGGCACGCCGTGGTTCTCACTGGTTCCCATTCCTAGTAGTTTCAAAGTTGTGTGTAAGTAGAAAGAGAGGACACTGTACACACCGGCCTTTAGAGGAGTGGGAGAGGGACGGGGTGGGGAGTGGGGCCCAGCAGGAGCATTGGCGTTATCTGTAGTTTTTAATTTTTTAATGAAGGAAGTCTTTCAATTGTTAGTCCAGTTAAACATTAATACAAACATATTCACATAAAAAACTTCCCTTTCTAGAGATAGTGCTGGGCGAGCTGCATCTCAGGCTGGCTTCCACCACTTTCACCCTCATAATTTTGTTTTGTTTTGTCAACATCTCTCCACTAGACCAATAATCAAAATAAAGTGTGCAAGAGAAGACAGCTGGAGGGGGGAAGAAAGAGAAAGGAAAATAAAAAAGTCATATCCAAGACAGCCCCTTCCCCCAACTAAATTTAAAAAAAAAAAACCTTAGTGAGCTAAACTAAACGAAACCAGAGTTCACAATTTCCTTAGCCAGGTAGAAAAATTAATCTGCCAACTGTGAAAAAACTTTTTTTTCAGTTAGAATGGGCAGCCATGGTTTTCTTTTTTGAAAAACATGGACAAATTCCAAATGTGAACACAAGGAAATGGTATAATGAGTCTCTGAAGTAAGAAAGAACTACCTTTTAAAAAGTGAAATTTGTTCAAGGCTAGGGTTTTGTTGATACTGTTTTCTCTTATAAAGATTTAGGTTATAGGTTATTGTAAAAGAAAGCTACATTTTCAGATCCCTTCTTAAAGAACTCTCTCATTTGAATCCTACAAAGGCTCTGTGAAGAAGAAAATTCTTCAGAGAATTTTTTTTTAAAAACACAAATCATTAGGCTTGTAGTAATAAGGTCACACAGACTGTATCCCAGCTCTTCTGACACCATTAGACAATATAGCATGAGAGGGAGAAAATAAACTCATTTAAAAATTAACTGTAATCTGACAGTTGTGAAATTCCTTTGCTTAAGAAAAATGGAAGTTTTGAGGATGGGAGTTTGAAGGCAAGAGAGGCCCTTATGTGGTGTTTCCTTCCTGGCACATGCAGGCTTGGGTGTGAATTACTGGGAAAGGAAAAGTCTTCACATCTGTTAAGCGGGAGATTGTTCCAGGCAGCATAATGTTTCTGTGAGCAAATACAAGTTTTTTCAGTTAAAGCCCCTGATTTGAATATTTTAGTTACCAAGAAACTGAGAAATGTTTCATTTGTCATACATCCTATTTATGAAGTGCTCTATTGTGCCGTTAGCTAGTAGGGTTCCGTTCAGTGCAGCGTTTAATGAGAACTGGCTCTGTGCCTGCCCTGGGGATGCAAAGGTTAAAAAAAAAGTATGAAACTTGCTCTCAGTTTTTTTAAATAAATAAATTTATTTATTTATTTATTTATGACTGCGTTGGGTCTTTGTTGCGGTGCGAGGGCTTCTCATTGCCCTGGCTTCTCTTTTTACGGAGCACAGGCTCTAGGCACACGGGCTTCGGTAATTGTGGCACATGGGCTCAGTAGTTGTGGCTCGTGGGCTCTGGAGTGCAGGCTCAGTAGTTGTGGCACACAGGCTTAGTTGCTCCATGGCACGTGGGATCTTCCCGGATCAGGGCTCAAACCCGTGTTCCCTGCCTTGGCAGGCGATTCTTAACCACTGCGCCACCAGGGAAGTCCCGCTTTCAGTTTTAATGAGGAAAACATTCACTCATTCAGTAGTTTATCAAGAAATGCTAATTAAGTGCCTACAAAGTGTTGGGCGTTCTTTGGCGATCCTTACTTGAAAAGTATCTCTACTGTCCTTGAGCTAATAGCCTCATGTGTATTTTTCAAGTTATGGATAATAACTCATGAATGGACCTTGAAATAATTTAGTGGAACAAAATGAGTTTAAGAAAAATAAAGTGGAATGGAGTAGAAAATAAAGTGGAATAGAGTAGAAAACCTAATGTAGTAAGGTTAAGTTTACTTTGTGAAACTTTGTTTTTTAAATTTACTGTTCTTCCTTTCATAAATTCATTCTTTGTATCTGTGGTGCACATTGCTTTTTCTTTTTCTTTTTCCTTTTTTTAATCAAGAGTAATAACTACTATTTTTATAAAAATGATACGTGGCCAATATGAATTCAAGTAATATAGTTAAATTAAAACAAGCAAAGTAACACATGTTCCCAAACTGGCCACCCAGAAATAACTGGGGTTAACATTTGGCTAACATCATTCCAGGCATCTTGTTTGTACTGGTAAAAGGATGGGTAGACAGGCGTAATTTTGCTTGGATGTATCACATTTATTTTTCCCATTGAACTTCATCAACATTGTTTCATTGTTTTCTGATGCTGATTATTGTCAAGAAGAAGTGTAAGGTCAGCTGTTTTTTTTTTTCCCTCTTGTTTGTGTTTTGAGTTTTCTTTCTTTCCTCCCTCCCTCCCTCTCTCCCCCTTTCTTTCCTTTCCTTTCCTTTTATTTCTTTTTTTTCTTTCATTTTTCTATCCAGAAAGCCTAAGAAATCTTTCTTTACCCATCTCAGAATTTCAGAATATAAGCTTCCTGGAGGCAAGGGTTTTCATGTGATTTGTTCACCTGGGCTGTATGCCCAGGTCTAGAGTAGTTCATAGCACAGAGTAAATATGGAATATCTGTCACACGACTGAATGCATGTACTGTGTTGTGTATAAGGCATATTTCTTACTAGATCCTCATTCAGAATATGTCTGAAAAATGATATTCTAGTGGGTCATCACCAGACATCAACAGACTGTGAAAAGGCAGATGTTTATTAGAATGCATATATGAACAAAGCAGTGTGTGCCTAGAGGAGGCAGGGAAGGCTTCATGGAGGAGGTGGGCTCCTAGAGCTCACTTTTGAAGGAGTTGCAGTGTACAGGATCCCAAAGGTAATCTAGATGTAAGGAATAGCATGTATCAAGAAGTGAAGGAGCATGACCTATTTTTAAAAATTCAAGTGTTTTGGCATTGTGGACTTTGCAAAGTATTGGAGTCAGAGAGAAGTTCATGGAGATGAGACGGGACAGGTTGCTGGGGGACCAGGGCATGGTGGGCTTCACTTATTTATGTGGCAAATTGAGCATTTATTATATGTTAGGCACTGTACTAGGGATATGAGCATGAGAAAAAGAGCTGATTCCTGCTCTCAGGAAGCTTAAGAATCTAGTAACATTATAGTTTATTATGGTATGTGTTATTTTTTTGCGGTATGCGGGCCTCTCACTGTTGTGGCCTCTCCCGTTGTGGAGCACAGGCTCCGGACGCGCAGGCTCAGCGGCCATGGCTCACGGGCCCAGCCGCTCCGCGGCATGTGGGATCTTCCCGGACCGGGGCACGAACCCGTGTCCCCCGCATTGGCAGGCGGATTCTCAACCACTGCACCACCAGGGAAGCCCATGATGAGTGTTCTTGATCTTAGAGGGGGTACAAATAAATAGCATCCCTCTTCTCCCATCTGAAAAACCAGAGTAAAGATGGAGGCCAAAGTACCACTTGTTACAGTTTGATATTAGAGCCAGTGCTAACTGGATTTCCTGAATTAGGCAGACTTATCATCTGAGGAGGAACATTTGCTTTCTGAGGGCAGCTAGCTCCCAAGAGGGAGAAGGTTTAAGAAGGACTACTCATGCCCAGTTATTCTCGCAAAATTTGCTGGTCAGATAAACCATTTCCAGGGGGACAGGGTGACTAAGGGGGCAAAAAGAAGCCTGGAGTTTAACTCAGCTCCCCTCCTGGAGGGAAATGAAACATCAGGATTAGGGAAGAAACATTTCCCATCCACAGTGGGAGAAGTGTACAGTTTTAAGGAGTACAGGGGCTTCCCTGGTGGCGCAGTGGTTAAGAATCCACCTGCCAATGCAGGGAACACATGTTCGAGCCCTGGTCTGGGAAAATTGCCCATGCCACGGAGCAACTAAGCCCAGCAGCTAAGCCCGTGCGCCACAACTACTGAGCCTGTGCTCTAGAGCCCGTGAGCCACAACTACTGAAGCCCACGCACCTAGAGCCCGTGCTCTGCATCAAGAGAAGCCACCGCAACGAGAAGCCCATGCACTGCACCAAAGAGTAGACCCCGCTTGCCGCAACTAGAGAAAGCCCGTGTGCAGCAATGAAGACCCAATGCAGCCAAAAATAAAATAAATAAATTTAAAAAATCACTTTAAGGAGTATAATTTTTGGGTTTTACATATAAGCTGGGACCTGAAGGATTAGTAGAAGTTAGTCAGGGAGAGGAGTAAGAGTAAGAAAGTTCTAGGCAGGAGAGTGGCCTATGTGAAGGCCCAGACTAGATTATAGGTAGCAAGTAAGGAGGCAGGTGGTGAGAGACAGGCTAGGGAGCAGCCTGTGAGCCACATTAAGGAGTGAGAGCTTTGTCCTGAAGGCCTGGGAATAGGGGTGAGAATGGAGGCAACCTGGGTAATCTTCTCTCCAGATGAGAGGCCATGGTGGCTTCAGCTAAGGAATGGCAGTACATGAGAGACTTGAAGTCTGGTGATATTTAAGAGATATATTGAGAGGTCTTGGTGATTGGTGGTAGGGGGTGAGGAAGGAAGATTGGGCCATGCTGAGGAAGTGAATGGCACCATCAGAATTGTGAGCAGGAAAGTATTATCATCAGGTGAGACTTGAGATGGGGATACTAGAGTGCAAGTATAAGTGGTAAGGGTCAGAACTAAGGGCGGTTGTTGGAGCTATTTTGGACTAAAATGAACCGAACTTAGTGGTTTGGGTATGTGGTGTGAGATGAAGCGCAGATTTCTATTTTTGACCCCTGAGCTAAGGGAAATGTTACTCTCTGAGAGAGAGCATTTATGAGAAGGAGCCAGAGGGAAGAGAGGGGTAAGTGATATATCTTGAACATGTTAAAGGGCCTCTAGGACTTCCAAGCTGGTATACAGATAATTTGATTAAGTTATAGAGATGGCGGTGAGAATGATAATTCTGTTGGGAGTGTTAGGGAAGCCTCAGCCTTGAACGATGAATGTTGAGTGATGGTGGGGATCAATTTGTATAAAGGTAGAGAGGTGGAAACAATTTGTGTTTGGGGAACCCTGCATATTTTGTTTTTTTGAGTATAAATTTCAGGGTGGAAAAGCAGAGGGAGATGAGGCTGGAGAGATGGACAAGAGCCAGGTCGTAATGACTTGCTGTGCTGGGTGAAGCTAAGGAATCTGGACTTTATACAGGGAGTCACGGAAGGATCTTAAGGGTAGAAGTACCATGAGCAGGTTTGCAGTACTCTGGAGCGCAGCATTGCAGATATGTTGGAGTAAAGGGAGACTGGAGGACAGAGACCACATAATGGATGATGTAGCATAGGCCCTTAGTATTTGTGAATGATGGAAGATAGGGACCTTTGAACTCAGGCAGTGGACGGAGAGTAAAGATACTGACTGGGGAGGTAAAATACATGGGACTTGGAGAGGGATGGAATATATTAGGTGAAGAGAAAGAGGATGTGAAGGAGTCACTAGAGGGAATCACATGGATGAATGGTAGCCTCAGAGCTCAAATATTAATGTGAAGAAATTTCAAAACAAACTCCCTTCCAAAACTATAAAGCTAACTTCGTAATGTTAAAAAAAATCTAGATCTCAGATTATTCCCCACAGGTCATTATAAGGCACATCAAAAAAAGGAGGGGAATTCTAAAGTTAGCCAGGGTTTCCTAGAGCTCATATTAGAAGGCATTTCATTGGTGTTTGGCAACCCTTACTTTTTAAAGAAAATTCCAGGTAGAAAATAATCAGTCTTAGCTGTCCTATATTCTCTTCCTAAGATGATAACTTACTTTAAGATTAGAAATGCCTGCATAAGTATAAGTAAGTTAAGAGTAAGGGGACAGCTATACTTTGATCCCTTCCAGCATGGGGAAACTCCCATATTGCATTGCATCTAAAACAGTGATAGAACTGTAGGCTTTCACAGTTTGTGAAATGATGTTGCCGTTTAGCTTTAGCCCTGATTTATTTTATTCTCTGTGCTTCAAAATTGTATTTCCAACTGCAGATTAGATATCTCCACCGGAATTGTCCACAGGCATCCCAGGTGGAGCATTTCTAATACAGAACTGGTTATCTTCAGTTCTCCACCTTGAATCTTTTCGTGTCAGCCCAGTCATTTCAGTAACAGCATCACTGCACATGCAGCTGTTTAAACTAGAAAACTCTGTCATCTTCAGCTCTTCCCTTCTTGCTCACCATTTCCAGTTGGTTGGCTTCTGAGTTCAGGCTAATCAACATGTTAAATATGTGTGGTAAATGTTGTCTTGATTTCTGCTGTCCTCATTATTTCTCACTTAGACTAATGCCTTTTGTCTGACTCATATCTATTTCCTTCTAGCTCACAGTTAAATCTTACTCTTTCCAAAACACAAAGGCAATGCAAAAAGTAGCAGAGGTATTGAGGTGAAGGTGAGAGAAGTGGAAAAGGCTCTATCTGCCAAATGGCCTTGATCAAAGGGAGAGACCTCTTTGTCCGCTTTTAGTGAAATAGGTCAATGTGTTGCTGAGGTTGGACTTTGAGGCAAGAAGAAATAATTGGATCAGGCAATATTAGGTACAATAGTAATTCACTATATCCTCATTTTCTGGGACCTGCCCATCTGCAAGTAATTTTATTTGCTAACTTCTTACCCCTTCTATGATGGCATCCAGTCTAAATCATCATCTCTTGCCTGGCCTGGCATAAAAACATTATACTTACTCTCCCTGCTTCCAGTCTTGCCTCCTACATTCCATTCTCAACTTAGTAGCCAGAACAATTCTCTAAAAACTTAAGGCAGCTCATGTCAATCCACTGCTCAAAACTTTGGAGAGTTTCCCACTTGACTTGAGTATAATTGTAAGTGGTTGACTCAGCCTGTGTGACCCAGTCCCCTTTACCTCATTGACTTCACCTCCTGTCCCTCTTTCTCTTCCCTCCTTCTACTTCAGCCACACTCGCCCTCTGATTCTTTCTAATGTGCTAGGCATGCTTCCTTCTCAGGGCCTTTGCTTTTAGTTTTCCCTCTGCCTGAAAGGACCGTGCAACTCATCCCCTCACTCCCTTTAGGTCTTTGCTCAGATGTCACCTCGGTGAGACCTTTGCTGACCACTCTATTTAAAATAGCAACACTCTACCCATATTCGATGCCTTATCTTTCCCCACAGCAACATATTAGCTTTTAATATACTCTATATTTCACTTAATTTATCTTCCCTCCCCCCAAAGATAATCTCTTTTAGGGTAGAATATTGTATCTGTTTTGCTCACTGCTTTATTGCCATTGCCTAGAACAGTGTCTGGAGCATAGCAAATGCTCAGTAAAAACATGCTAAAGATAAATAAAATGAGTTAACACAATAATCATGATATCATGTTTATCTCTAATACTTTTTCATACAAGCAAATTCCCAAATCAGAACAAACCCTTTACAAGGGTTTGTTATGCTATGTTGTAACCTGTTACATTGTAGACATTTATTAGGAATTTTTATTTCAAATGTGATTATTTTTACCTTTATAACCTTTCCTCTATGAGGTTGAGAAAATGTTTTAAAATAATAAGAAAAGAAAGTTTATATGCAAATATCTTGCTTAATTTATCTTTCATAAAGTACCAGATAAAATTCCCTATACAAATCAATACTAAATAAATAAAAATTCATCTTAGTGCTTTTGGGAAATTAGAACACTTTTTTTCATTATTACTAGGTAATGATAAACTCACCAGCCTACTTGTGCAAATTTCCTGATTCATCATCTTAATGTAATAGTTCTGGAGTTGGTGGCAGCCTTAAGTAAAACTGCCGTTTATGCAGAGAAAGATTATTGTAAGTTGCTTGGATTATCATGCTTTGGCAAAAGGGTACCAAAAAATGCTTTGTCAACATGAAGGTAAATGAAATATAATGACTGGCATGGAGGATTACCAGATTTGCAAATTTATCTTTCACAATTATTTTATACATGTTTTCAAATTTTATCTTTCACTAACTTTTTTCCCTGGTTAAAAAATCAAATCATATTTATTGAATAGATTTTGAAATTACTAAGAACCAATCAAACTAACAAAAAGAACAAATCTTCCATTATCCCATCACCTAGACATACATAGTAACTGTGAAAGGTAATGAATGGACTCTGAAGTCAGACACATCTTCGATTTGAGTCTTTACTACTTATTATTATTTGTCTTTAAAAGTTAGTTACCTGACCTTTCTGTGCTTCAGTTTTCTCATCTATAAAATGGGAGTAACAATAGAATTTACCTTATAGGTTGTTGAAAGTCCTTCATAGACCTGGCACATGGTAAATATTGAATCTACTACTAACTGTTGTTATTTTCTTCTAGTCTTTTTTCTAAGTATATATTTTTATTTATAGTTAAGAGCATCCTGTATATTTCTTTTTTTACTTAACATCATATTATAAGCATTTTCTTGTTCAATTTCTAGTTGATGAATAGCCTTATCCTAAATCAGTGACAACATTTCTATTTCCTTAGGGTAAATTTTAGATATCTCAGAACAACTAATGGCAGCCCATTTAACTTATAAGAATGCTCTAGCAGGAAATTATCGATTCTGGAGTTTTAATCTTATAACATAACCTGATGGGGAATATCAGATACCCGACTGGTGTGATCATTAAACTCAGTAGGAGCTCAGTGAGTAGAGGGAGGCAGTATACAAGGTCATTATAATCTTGGTTTTGCAAGTTGGGCAACATACTTAACTTTTCTGGGCCCCTCCTGAACAATGGGGTAAAAATAATACCTATCTCATGGAGTGATGAAGATTAGTTTCTAATCCTGATAAATGGTAAACACTTAATGAATATTAGCTCTTTATTGTTTGTTATTATGGTTAACACTTAAAAGTTTGTTTTCATAATTAAGAGTGAGAGAATGCAGTGATTTTGACAAGTAATATGAGAGTAAGCTGTAAAATATAAGATAGGGCAGTATAAATAGTTTTCAGTTGAAAATGGTTTGATTTTATCCCCCCATTTTAAATATAACAAATATTTTTATCTGTTCTAAATTTATTATCCAGAAGACAACATGGGAAGAGGCATTTGGTTTAATAAACCTTATAAAGGACTTTTTATAATTTTCTTCAGTGATTCAAAGATGGAATGTAATTTTTATCCAAATTATTCTTGTTAAAAGACAAAAATGCTTTATGTAAGTTTTTTTGAAGTTAAATTTAAGCTAAACACATAAACTAATAATGCTAGCATTTATAGAGTGCTTTCTGTGTGCTACATAATTTTCTAGGTTTATTATTCATATTAACTCATGAAATCCTTATAATGTCCTATGAGGAAGGTTCTGTTATTATCTCCAATTATAGAAGAAACTGAGGCAAAAAGAGGTTAAATAACATGCTGAAGTTTACATGACTAGGGAGAAAATTCTGCCCTCTGTAGTCTAGCTCCAAAGCCCATGCTTTTAACCACTCTATGTTACTTAACATTCCAACAGAAAAAGAATAAAAATTGATTAAATACAGTACCAATATGTTTACAGTGAGTTTGTGTTAATCCAAGAATTTGATTAATATTAAAGAGTATGTTTAAAAAAATTCTTGTGGGAATATAAGTATGCAAATTTCAATTCATTTTTTTTCTTTTAGTTTTTTAGGTATGGAACAAAAATATTATATCAAAACAATGAAGGTTTTCAGTCTAAATTCTTTCCACCCTTTCAAAAAGTGATGCTACCACCAAATAGTTTTCAAGGAAAAGTAGCATTCATTACTGGGGGAGGTACTGGCCTTGGTAAAGGAATGACAACTCATCTGTCCAGCCTAGGTGCACAGTGTGTGATAGCCAGCCGGTAAGTCAGTCTCAGCAAGTTGCCTGGCAAGAGTCTATTGATGAATAATTCTGTGCCACAATATTGAAAACACTATTTGCCAGAGTTGTTTGATTTGCGTCGTAATCGTCTATGAAATATCCTTTAGATTATTTAACTAAATCTCCTTGGAAAAAGTCAGTTATAATTTGTGATGATAGGGCTTCCCTTGTGGCACAGTAGTTAAAAATCCGCCTGCCAATGCAGGGGACACGGGTTCGAGCCCTGGTCTGGGAAGATCCCACATGCTGCAAAGCAACTAAGCCCGAGCGCCACACTACTGAGCCTGTGCGCTAGAGCCCACGAGCCACAGCTACTGAAGCCTGCGTGTCACAACTACTGAAGCCCGTGCACCTAGAGCCCATGCTCTGCAACAAGAGAAGCCACAGCAATGAGAAGCCCGTGCACCGCAACGAAAAGTAGCCCCGGCTCGCTGCAACTAGAGAAAGTCCGCACACAGAAATGAAGACCTAATGCAGCCAAAAATAAATAGATTAATTAAAAAAATAATTTGTGATAGAAATAATGATTGATTATGGAACTGATGATATATATATTTCACAAATTCAGTGATAGAATTTTTTCTGTATATGAAGTTAAAAAGTACTATATTGAGGCTGCTTTGTTTTCAGTGAGATTGATTATAATTACTGATTCAGTGGATAGTTAACCTTGTACCAGGATAATGGATATAATGCTTCCATTTTCTATAAGATGGGCAGGTATTTCAAAACAGCTGTTGTGATGAATGTAGGGAGGGTGAGACCATGTGGAAAGAATTTCTTATTTAGGCATGTCCCAGTACCTTATAACGATGTAAGTATAGAGGTTTAGAGACTGGTCAAAAAAATCTACCCCTTCTTCCAATTTTGAACAGTGTACAATTCTTAGGTAGGCTAAGTAGTAACCTGAATGACAAGTCACTATGTAATTTACAGGGGGCAAAAGGAATTTCTTTCAGATGTTGTTTTTAATGCAAATTGGCCAGAACATTTTTTTTCATGTTGTAATGTGTTTAAGAGTGTTAAAATATTATTTTTTTATAACACTACATAATTTACATTGTTTATTTTTTAGTGTTTCTCTCAAGAGCATAATATTTTGACTATATATAGTTGTCCAGACCCATCAATTTGATCTAAAATCTACTAATGTCGATTTTATACATAACATAGATTTTTTTATAGTTTAACATAAGCTTACATCATTCCAGGAATGTATTTTCCTTCTCAAGCAGGCTTGGGCAAGGAAATACATAGAAATGAATATAATTAAGGAAATAATTTAAAATCTATGAGTAGATATAAAATAACTGGCTTAGAAGTAATTTAATAAATTAGTGTCACATATATGAAAATTGCTTAAATTTAACTTCTAGAAAATAAATGCATTCAAACTACCTTGTTTGTAGATATAGCTTTTCTATTGTCTCAAAAATTCATGTCATTAAGCTGTAGATTCTCTTTTTTAATTTATGAACTTAAAAAGAAAAATGTAACATGAAGTTATTTCAGAACTCATGCAAAGTACCATGTGTTTTTTTCTAGAAAAATTGATGTTCTGAAAGCAACTGCAGAACAAATTTCTTCTCAAACTGGAAATAAGGTACATTAAAAACAGTTACTTAAATAAGATTTAGGAATTATAGCATGCTTAAGTAATTTACTCATACTCATGGATTAGGAAGTCTGAAAAAATGTAGGGTTCTTTTTTTCTCTTTGTTATTTTGCAGGTTCATGCAATTCAGTGTGATGTGAGGGATCCTGGTATGGTGCAAAGCACTGTGTCAGAGCTGATCAAAGTCGTAGGACATCCTGATGTAAGTGTAATGGTGATGAGGCGAAAGTATGAGGCCTTTGATGTTGATATCACCTACCAAGATGTATTAAGGAAATAAAATATTGATGTGAGCAAATGCTGTGTTAAGAAGCATCTATTTTCCATTGCTAGCAGAAAGCTAGCTCTGTTTAAACCAGGGAATAGATTAGGTGGACCGCTACACCATTTCCTTTCAGGAGTACTTAAAAAATACATTTACAATCATATAGAACAAATGATTTTACTTTATTTAATAAGATTATGAAATAAAAGTTGTTATCCAAGAGCACAATATCTAGTTTAAATGATTCATGCTCTTTGCTTTTTTAAAATAACTTGATTATCTCTGTCAGTGGAGGAGAATAGTACAAACAAGGAAACCTACAAAAAACCCTCCAGATTTCTTCTTGTAAGACCTGAGATATGCATGGGTATTTTGCTTTTGTTTGGTTCACATATTGGAAAGAAACCATTTCTTCCAGTAGCCTCAAAGAGAGCACTTTTCTATGTTAAAGATATTTTCAGACAAACCGATAATGTATTATTTTATTGGTAGAATAATAATATTGGAATCTTAATTGATATTGAAGAAGCAGGTCATCAACCAAGAATTTCATTAGCTAAATTAAGCCAAAATGATACCAGAAATTAAAGGCATTTTAATTAAGATTTCTTGAAATAAAGTATAGTCACATGGTAGATATGCTTAATCTATATTTATATTTTTAATAATAGACTGTACCCTAATTTTGAGATGGGGATTAGAACTCTAAAATTTGGTAAATAATAATAGGAAATTTTCACAGGCTCGAAAAAGGTAAAACTGAACCAAATCTCATGGTATTTTTTCATAGCAGACTGTGAACTTTAGCTTTATTATATTATTTGGATTTATAAGTTTCAAAAGTAAAAGCCCTTTAGGGAAAATATTCTTCCTCATCTAAGTTTCTGTAACTTGCCTTAATCATTTATTAGATTGTGATAAACAATGCAGCAGGGAATTTTATTTCTCCCACTGAAAGACTGTCTCCTAATGCTTGGAAGACCATAACTGACATAGTTCTAAATGGCACAGCCTTTGTGACACTAGAAATTGGAAAGCAACTAATCAAAGCACAGAAAGGTATGTATATTTATTCTTTACATGTTTATTGGATTCCTACTTGTGCAGGTTCTGTGCTAAGCCCTGGGATACGTAAAAACGTCAATGACAGTGTCTATTCTTGTACAACTCATAAGCTAGTGGGGAAGAAATATACTTAAATAGTTACCATATGCACTTAAATATTTACCATATGCTGTGATCTAAGCTATATTAAATGTTGTGTTTCAAGTACATTGGAAATCCAGAGAAAGAAAGAAAGAACTCTCCCTAGGGATGATTATCATGTTGAGGAACAGAATGCAATTTTAGCTGAATTTTCAAAGATCTAGACATGGAGAAGGGGGAAGGAAAGGAAATGTAAATGTCCATGGGAAGAAGCTTGGTGTGGGAAAAGCAGAAGGGTTTAGGGACTGGTTACAGATGGGGAGGGAGATCAGTGGGAGATGATTATGGGAGGTGGGTTGGATGTAATTGGGAAAGTTCCCAATACCAAAATGGGGAATTTGATGTTAATTTTGAGGAAATGGGGAATTATTTCCTTATGGCTTTTTCTTGAAGGTGTCTCATAAAGAATGTGACTTGATTAGAAAGGTTACTGGGAACAATGTAGGGGCTAGAAAAGATTAGATCATTTAGGAGGGTCTTGTTTTCCTTGTGTTAGGATAGATGGCATGGAGGATAAATTAGGAGATATTTAGAAGATAAGATCAATAGGCCTTACTGATTAGGTGACAGAGTTTTTAGCTGGAGTGGATAGTTTAGATGATGATGACATCAATGAGAAAACTGGAAGGAGAGTAGATTTAGAATGTACTAGAACATTTTTGTTTAGTACTATAGGAACAGACTTCTTTAGAAAAGTTCATACAATATAAATAGTGAATATATTTGTAATGTATTTATGTGGGTATATACATATATGTCTAGAACCAGTGTACATTTATTCATTTAACAGAAACTTACTGATGACTTTTGTGTACCAGGCCCTGTGCTGCATGCCCACATGACAGGTGACTAAGACACTGTCCCTGAGCAGGTTGTGGTTGGGACTTGAAGGATGGGGACATTTTCTCAGAGAGGTTGGAGAGTATTCTGAACCAGGACAAGGAGGAAGAATCCTTGTGTTCCTTGAAGGATGTCCTCTGGGGCTTGAGGGGAATGGCATGAGCTGACCAGTTTCCTTCTGTTGGTTCAAAGCCTTTGCCTCATTAGGTTCAGTTTCTTCTTCTTTACAGCGTGGATAATTCTCAAATCAGCTTGAGAAAGGATGTAGGAACAGACAGAGGGATGCTAGAGAGGCACTAGCTTTTTTTCTACACATGTGCTAATAACTTCCATCTTTTCTCCATGCACTCATTGAAATTGAAACCCCAGGTCACTCATTCCCATTACAACAAAGTGGATATGATTGAAATTTGGAATTTACATATTTTTTTGATTTTTTTAAAGGGGTGGATGATTGGGAAGGGAGACAGAGAAGTGTGGGCTGACTTCTCTCTCTTCTCTGTTCTAGGATCCTTCTGTCTCTTCTCACTCTGCCTCTGTCTGATTTTCTCTCTCCATACCTCTTACTCATTCCTCTATTTGTTTCTCTCTGTATGTCTGTCTGTCTGTCTCTTTCTCTCTCTCTGTCAGCTCTTCACTTTTGCTTCTGTTTCTTTCTTCGGTCTCTCTCATCACTTGGTGTTTCTCTGCCTTGTCTCTTTTATTTCATCCCCTGCCCATCTGTGTTACTCTTGATTTCTGTCTGACTCTCCCTTCTTTTCTCATTATTGTCATTCATTTTAACGTAGACTTTGATCTATTTTTATTCATCACATTGGTTAAAATTCTATGGGCTTCATTAAAAATACATTAGCTAAGGCTTCTTAAAAGATGGAGCCAGTTTTCATTCTTCCAAAATTCCTGTCGGTTATAGATGCTGTAACCTGACAGGGTTTTAAGGACTTGTATTAGTGAGCTGTGGAGAGTACAATGCACAGGGTCTTTTCTGGTTTTGGAGCGATAGTCAAGGAACTCAGGTGCTAATGACCTCTGAGGTGTGTCAAAGTGGTAAATATGGAAGTCAGTTCAGGGAGCAGGCAATCTGTAATAATCTGTGATCAGAAGTATGTTAGGTGGTCTGGTATCTAGAAAGGTGGTCAAGGTAAGGTATCCGGGAAGTCAGACTAGAAAATATAAGGGCACCAGCAACTAGAAGCCAGATGCTCACTTGCTGGGGACAGGAATTGGTGATGAGGTGCACTCAGAGAGGGGCTAGCAGATGACTGAAGATCAGGAGAACTGTGGCCTTAGCAGGGGCAGAGAAGCTAAAATTAGAGGGACACTGTTAAAGTATGTTTCTAGGCAGCACTGATGCAAAACTAACAATTTTGAACAAATAAAAGATTTAGGAAACTCCTAAAGACCTTAGCCCAATGTGCTCTTATAGCCACAAAGGTCAGTAAATACATGGCTGATCCTTTCTGGGGAGGATTTGAAATTATCATGCTGAGGTTCATTCATCACTAAGATGTCATGTATAAATTTAAAATTTTTAGTAAATAGTGTGGAAAAGAGTACCTAATTTTATTAAAGAATTGAGAGAACTTGAAATGAGGAAAGACTAAAAATAATACAGAGTTTTATTTAAGAGACTAGTCATGAAGGACATGGATAGGATAAATATTGAATTTTTCCATCAAACCCTAGAGATCACTAGAAGCAAGAGATACCTCTTGAAACTCTTAAGAGGTTATTTTAACCGCTTAAAGTAGCATTATTATTTAAGTAGCATTAATAATACTTTATACCACAATAGTGCTTTGTAATTTACAAAGTATTTTCATATATCAGTATAGAATCAGTATGAAATGCAGGATTATTGTATGCTGAAATACAGATAGATTAAAGAAAGAGTAAATCAATGCATAATGTAGCTCTAATGTATGTATTATTTTTAGTTTGCTAAATGGGAGGAAACACTTATATATAGTAAAATCCACAGATTTTCTATATATAAATTGATACAGAATTTTGATTGTTTTGTAAATTTATACACTTAGGTAACCATTACCAAACCAAGACATAGAACGTTTCTGTTGCCTCCAAATGTTCCCTCTTGCTGATTTCTACTTAATCCTCACTATCTATGTTTTTAATCCATTTTTTATTGAGTTATTTCTCTTTATTATTTTAAAAATTCTAGATTTATTTTTTATTGAAGTAACATTGGTTTATAACATATATAAATGTTTCAAGTGTGCAGTATTTCTACTTCTACTTACACTACAGTGTGTTTACCACTAAAAATTTAGTTTCCATCTATCACCATACAGTTGATCCCCTTTACCCATTCCTCCCTGCCCCTTCCCCTGGTAACCACTGCTCTGTTCTCTGTATTTATGTGTTTGTTTTTGTTTGTTTTTTTCATTTATTTTGTTTGTGTGTGTGTGCATGTGTTTGTTTTTTATAGTCCACATATGAGTGATATCATATGTATTTGTCTTTTTCCATCTGACTTATTTCACTTAGCATGATACCCTCAAGGTCCATCTGTGTTGTCACAAATGGGAAAATTATATCTTTTTATGGCTGAGTAGTATTTCCGTGTGTGTGTGTGTGTGTGTGTGTGTGTGTGTATCACATCTTTATCCATTCAACTGTTGATGGGCACTTAGCTATTTTAATATCTTGGCTATTGTAAATAATGCCATGATGAACACAGGGGTTCATATATCTTTTCAAATTAGTGTTTCTGTATTCTTTGGATAAATACCCAGAAGTGGGATAGTGGGAAAATATGGTAGTTCTATTCTTAATTTTTTCAGGACCCTCTATACTGTTTTCCATAGTGGCTACACCAGTGTATGTTCCCACTAACAGTTTACTAGGGTTCCCTTTATTCTGTATCCTCACCAACATCTGTTATTTATGGTCTTTTTGATGATAGCCATTCTGACAGGTGTGAGGTGCTATCTCATTGTGGCTTTGATTTACATTTCCCTGATGATTAGCAATGTTGAGCATCTTTTCACGTGCCTGTTGACCATCTATAAGTCTTCTTTGGAAAAATGTTTATTCAGCTCCTCTGCCCATTTAAAAAAATTTTTTTTTGTTGTTGTTGAGTTGTATGAGCTCTTTACATATTTTGGATGTTAACCTCTTATCGGATATATCATTTGCACGTATCTTCTTCCATTCAGTAGTTTGTATTTTCATTTTGTTGATGGTTTCCTTTGCTGTGCAGAAGCGTTTTAGTTTGATGTAGTCCCATTTATTTATTTTTGCTTTAGTTTCTCTTGCCTGAGGAGACATATCTAGAAAGATTGCTAAGACTGATGTTAAAGAGCTTATTTTCTTCTAGGAATTTTGTGGTTTCAGGTCTTAGATTCAATCTTTAATCTATTTTGAGTTGATTTTTATGTACGGTGTGAGATAGTGGTCTAGTTTCATTTTCTGTCAGTGACTGTCCAGTTTTCCCAACACCAAGTACTGGAGAGATTATCCTCTCTCCATTGTATGTTCTTTGCTTCTTTGTCATATATTAATTGTCTGTATATACATGATATTATTTCTGGGCTCTACTTTCTTTTCCTTTGATCTGTGTATCTCTTTTTCTTTCATTACCATGCTGTTTTGATTACTATAGCTTTGTAATTTACTTTGAAATCAGGGAGTGTGATACCTCTAGCTTTGTTCTCTTTTCTCAGGAGTGTGTTGGCTATTTGCTGTATTTTGTGGTTCAATATAAATTTTAGAATTCTTTTGTTCTATTTTCATGAAAAAAGTCCCTGGGAATTTGATAAGGATTGCATTGAATCTATAGATTGCTTTAGGTAATAAGGACATTTTAACAAATTTAATTCTTCCAACCCACGAGCCCAGAATATCTTTTCACTTATTTGTGTCTTCTTCAATTTTTTTTCAACAATGTCTTATAGTTTTCAGTGTATGAGTCTTTTACCTCCTTGGTTAAATTTATTCCTAGGTATTTTATTCTTTTTTTTGTGATTGTAAATGGGGTTGTTTTTTAAATT